TGTGTGTGTGTGTGTGTGTGTGTGTGTGTGTGTGTGTGTGTGTGTGTTGTGTTTAGAAGTGCATTAAAGAGTATTGCTGCTCTTCAGGCCCTCTGTAGCAGTCAACAAATTATAGAGCGGGAAGTACTTCCTGTGGGAACATATTAGACCAGCTTTATATGTAGTCTGCTTAAGGTTAGCCACCGCTGTCAGCGTGGAGGCCTATCTGTATGAATGAGTTTAGGAGAGGAGGGGGGGGGGTGATTAGCCCGACTGGGGTCTGTTTAAAACAAGCCAGCTGGATCCAGTAGCCAGCCTATTAGATCTACTGTAAACCCAAGAATGTAGTAGCGCAGCGCTTTGAGAATACTAATCCCACATGAATTGTGATTTTGTTGACAATTACTTGTAGGCGCTTTTCTTTCTGGCACGGCTGTCGACGTATTTGAAGGAATATTAACAGCCATAAAATAGGAGACATATTGTTTATGTTGAGGCTTTGTTGAACAGCCAGAATGACACTCGTCGGATTTTATTAATTAGCCAAAACTGAGTCAAAAAAAAAAACCTTGCTTTGCAAGCTCTTAGTGATTTTGCAAACAGATAAAGAGCTACTGCAATTATTAACCCCCATTATTAACCCCAAATTCTATCATGGAGCCATTGTTTTGTTTTTAATTAAAAACACCCTGAAAAGAAATCAGAATCACTGTAACAGCGTTGCTGAATGCAGCTTCCTCAGATACCGAATGAGCTCACAGGGAAATAAACTCTTTGGATTTGTCAAATAGCCTCATTCTGAGTTCGACAGATTTAATACAATATTATAAATAGTTTTTCTTCCTTTGTGTGCGCACATACACACAGACGGAGCAGTTACGTAACAGCAGCTGACTGATGATAGTCTGATACGAGAAACAAAGCCAAAGGCGAGGGCTTGTAATCTCTGTGTGTCTGTGAGCATGTGTGTGTGAGCGTGTGTGTGAGCATGTGTGTGTCTGTGAGCATGTGTGTGTGAGCATGTGTGTGTCTGTGAGCATGTGTGTGTCTGTGAGAGCATGTGCATCTGTAGGCATGTGCGTCTGTGAGAGCATGTGCATCTGTAGGCATGTGCGTCTGTGAGAGCATGTGCGTCTGTGAGCATGCGCGTGTTTGTGAGCATGTGTGTCTGTGAGCATGTGTGTGTGTGTGAGCATGTGCGTCTGTGAGCATGTGTGTGTGTGTGAGCATGTGTGTGTGTGTGTGAGCATGTGTGTGTGTGTGTGTGAGCATGTGCGTCTGTGAGCATGTGTGTGTGTGTGAGAGCATGTGTGTGTGTGAGAGCATGTGTGTGTGTGTGAGCATGTGTGTGTGTGTGTGAGCATGTGTGTGTGTGTGAGCATGTGTGTGTGTGTGAGCATGTGTGTGTGTGAGCATGTGCGTCTCACAGCGTTGGGGGTAGTAGTGCATTACTGCAATCAGGTTTTTTAGGTACTTTCTCAAACTTAATTTGATTCCGGTTTTTTTTCTAAATCTATTGGTGACACA